AGACTGGAAAAGCAGAGGGTGCTGCCGGCCAGGACTGGGGTACATTGGCAGACTATATGTACAGGAAGCCCAGGTCTGGAATAGCTGGGTGGGGGTTGTAGGTTAAGACTGAAGGGCATGGTGGGAATTGCATGGGGAGCGGGGGAGCTCCCGAACCATAACCGCAGGGGTTTCTGCAGATGAGGGCTGAGATGCATTGACAGAGCTGAGTGTTGGTATGACGGGGCTTGGGCACAGAGTAGTGGGCGTTCCCGGCTGCCACACCCAGAATTCCCCTGGAGGCTGTAGGTGAGCAAAGGGAGTTGCTGATGCCCTCCATGTGTAACACACTGGCACAGTGAGTGTAGGGTGACCAGATGGTAAGGGGAAAATATGGGGACCGCCACGGGGGGGCTTTTTTTGTTTTTTACACTCACCCATCTGGGTCTTCGGCGGCAATTCGGCGGAGAGTCCTTCAGTCGCGGACGGTCTTCGACGGTATTTCGGCAGCGGGTAATAAACCTTGCCGACAAAGACAGAAGCACCCGCCGCTGAAATGCCGCCGAAGACCGTCAGCGACTGAAGGACTCTCCGCCGAATTGCCACCAAAGACCGGGAAACAAAATATCGGGACAAATGGCATCCCGACCGTACTCCGGTCGGGACATGGGACAAACTCCTCAAAATCGGGAAAGTCCCGATTTTATCGGGACGTCTGGTCACCCTAAGTGAGTGTCATGGCCATCTCTAGGGCTGGTCCATAGAACAACCTACTACTGCAACCAGCTGACTGAGTTACTTCTGTAGCTCACAAAGCAGAGGGGCCATGCTTTCCTGCTAGTGAAGGCAGGGGGCTGGACTCGATGACCTTTCAAGGTCCCTTCCAGCTCTAGGAGATAGGATATCTCCAACAATTTAAAATTTATTTTATTGTGAATGGTACTGGGTTCAAATCCTGCTCCCACCCAGGGGGTGATCACACTTGCATTCAGGGAGGGCCAGGACTAAGATTGTGGCTGGCTCCATTAAAAGGGGGCCAGGCTCATCGGGCCCATTCTTGCACCCCAGGCTTGGACCAGCCACAACATCAAGTTCACTAGGGAAGAGTGTGTAGGGAGTTACTTGCCTGTGGTGTGTCTCTGCAGCAGGAGGGTACCCAGATACCAGACCTGCACCACAGCCACCACATGACAGAGCCAGGCTGCCAGGCAGTTAGTGCACATCACTAATCAGGAAAGGCAAGGGCCCCATTGTTACTTTGAAACAGGAAGGGCAAGATGCTACCACGTATTGTCCCTTCCATTCCACTCCTACTACCCTGGACCTCTGGTGACAGGACAAATCATGCAACATAACATACACAGCTGACCCTGCCTAAGCCTCTGGTGTCTACCTATCCATAAAACTCCATTTTCATGGTCCAGCTCATGACTGACCACAACATCTCCCAAGGTTTTGATGACCCCCTTCCTGGGCAGTCATCAGAACTGAACACCAATCACACCTCTTCTCCACTTCAAGCAGGTCTGGTTTGCAGCATGCCCCTGTGGTGAACAGACTCAGCAGCTCTCAAACCAACTGAGGAAGCAAATTCCAAAGTCAAGAACACTTGGCCAAGACCAGACTGGGGCTATGGCTGTAGATCTTTCTGAATGCCAAGAGCTTCATAGATTCCACGGTTCAGAACCTTGAAGACCTTGGAACCCTTTAGAATATTCAGGGTTCTAGATTTTGCCTCATGCAGGAACCTGACCTTTTAGACCTTCTGAGGGTGGCATCCCATAATTTAAAAGGCAAAAGGGAAAAAAATAATTTCATTCATGTTCTGAACATTCTCAATGTTTCGTGAGGGACCCAGGACCTCATCCCTAGTGCCGTTATGAAAATGGCTAATTGCATTTGTTTCTACATGTTTAATACACATTGAAACATTCTGCAAACAGGAAGGAGGGGCTTAGTGGTTAGTGCAGAATGTGGTGAGAAGGCAAAACTCTTGAGCTCTATTCCAGGTCCTGCTAGCCGTTGGCTGCATTGATTTTGTATAAACTGCGTAATCTCTTAGGCCAGAATTTTCAGAAGAGCTCAGCTCTCATTTAGGCATCTAAATAAATACCCAGATCTTAGACATCCTGAACAGTGCTTTGAAATAAGCAGCTAAATTATGCTGGCATCTCAATAAGCAGACAGATATTCAAAAGACATCAGCACATCAGGTGCACATTGAGGGCTGAGCACTTCTGAAAAGCTGTCTGTAAGTGTCACAGTAGAAGCTGCTATACACAGGGAAAACCCGGCCCAGAACTCTTCTGGAAATGTGTCCCTGTATGCTTCAATTTACCTGCTCTGAAATGGTTTGAATAATCAAGTTTGTTCTGGGCTCCATTATATAAAGTTTGTAAAGTCTTTGGGGAAGCTCAGGTGAAAAAAAAGCTACAATTGCAAAGAAATATTATTAATCATGATGTTTCAGCATGCTAGTTCCCTTAGGCAGCTGAATGGATTTCTGCAAGCAATCTGGTAGAAAACAAAACTGAGTGAAAAGAAGAAAGAAAGAAAGAAAGAAAGAAAGAAAGAAAGAAAGAAAGAAAGAAAGAAAAGCAGCCAGCCATATGAGGAAGGTTGCATAACTGCCTCTCTAGCTGCAGAGATAGATTAAATTGGTTTAATTTGAAACCAGGCCTTGTCTGAAAGACTTTTCATGCATTATTACCTCATCTTCCTTTGAATTCTCAAAGCAACTGCTTTTCTCTCCAATCTAGCTACAGAAATGATTATTACCTCCTTGCTCAGCTAATGGGATTAGAACCTCGGCAGGCTCTGAACTTTATTCTACTCTTTCCTAATGAGAGCCCCAATTCAGCCAAGTACCTGAGCTTGGGTGTAATTTTAAGGAAACCACTTAAGCACGTATTTAAGGCTATGGGCTTGTCTACACTTGTGTAGTCGCAGCAGAGAGCTCTCTCAGCGCTCTAAAAAAACCACCTCCACAAGGGGCGTGGCTCCCAGCACCAGTGCACTGTCTACACTGGCGCTGTACAGCACTGAAACTTGCTGCACTCAGGGGGGTGTTTTTCCACAGTTTGCACTACAAAGATAAACCGACCTATGTTACCCCTTGTCTACACTGGCAATTTACAGCGCTGAAACTTTCTTGCTCCCAGCAATGGTAGAAACGCCCCCCGTGAAGGTGGTTTTTTCAGAGCGCTGGGAGAGAGCGCTTTAGCGTTGCCAGTGTAGACTAGCCCTTAGGTTGATTTACAGCCACCGCATTAATCACTGAGGTGGCTCACGTCCACCCTACCTTCCTTCTGTCGGTGGTACCCATCCTCACCAGGAGCGGTTCCACCGACTGAAGAGGGGCAGCGTGGAGGACTGAGAGCCAGGGATCTCAGCTCCACGCAGATCCCCACCGGGAGACCTGCTGCCCGCTGGGGTTTCTTGCCTCCAGCCAGGAGACAAACACACCGAGTTTAGTCGGCTGCCCTGCTCCAGTAGGTTCGCAGCAGGGAGCCCAGGCAGCAGTCAGCCCAAGCCGGGAGCCTGGCTTGGAGTGGAGACCGGACCCCAGCCTGGCTTGTGAGCCAGCTTTCTTGTCAATTTCATGGCTCCCGCAGAGCCGTGAAATCGACAAGAGACAGCCCACAGGGGATGTAAGGAAGGCAGGGTCTACACAGACACTGCATCAGCCTAACTACTCCAACATAAGTCCTACACCTCTCGTTGAGGTGGTTTTATTATGCCAACATAGCAGGGGAGTTACATCGGCCGGAGGAGCATTTCAGTGCATAAACCGCCACCGTTTTGTCAACAAAACTGTGTAGCGTAGACAAGGCCTTGAAGTGATCCTAGATGTACCAGTGTTGAAGAACTATGGACCCAATGCTGCACACCCTCTAGGGCTGGTCTTCCCTAACGCGGTAAGTTACGCTATAACGTAACTGAAGTCGACGTAACTTAGATCAACTGACAGTGGTGTCTACACCGCACTATGTCGATGGGAGACGCTCTGCCATCGACTTAGCATGACTTCACCAGACCCGCTAAATCGACACCGCTGCATCAGTCGTAGCAGTGTTGATTTAGCTGGTCGGGTGGACGTGGCCCTAGTCCTGCGGAAGCCAGGGTGGTCAGCCTGTTACAGGATCTTGCTCTAATGCCCCAATTTATGGTCAATGGGATTTAATCGTGTGTTTAAAGCTAAGCAAGTGTTTAAGTGCTTTGATGAATCACATCCTGAACTGGGACAGATGGTTCATTTCTGCACATATCCCTTCAACAAGGAAGATGGATTTGTACCCAGTGTGCACCTAGGTTCTGATCCAACACCCATTCAAGCCCTGAGAAAGGCTCCCATTGGCTTCAATGAGTTTTTGGATCGAGCCCTTAACCCTTCCTGAAGTGGATATTTGCCCAGCGATGTTTTGCAACATCCCCATGGAAAGTTCTGTTTTGATAAAATGGGAGGCAGGGGGTGGAAAAGGGGATGGGGGTTGCATGGAAAATTCTCAACCCAGCTCTCACGGTCACATTATAGATGAGAGTCTGGGCTCCAGACCCTCAACGGCATAGGTGTCAACTCCGTGGGTGCTTTGGGGCTGGAGCACCCACGGAAAAAAAAATAACCTGCCAATTAGCTGCTTGGTGGGCCCCACCCATCAGCTGCTCAGCAACCCCACTGATCAGCTGATCGATGGCGGGTGGGAGGCACTGGGGTGAGGAGGCGGAGGAGGGGCGGTAAAGGGCAGAGCGAGGGTGGGGCATGCTCAGGGGAGGGGGCGGAGTGTGGGCAGGAAGAGGCGGAGCAAGGGTGGGGCAGAGCGGGGGCGGAGCAGCCACCCAGAAAGAACAAAGTCGGTGCCAGTACTCAATGGTATTTAGGGGTCTTAATCCCATTGGTTTCAATACCTAAATACCTTTGAGGATCTGGGCCTTAGGTAGCCTCCACACAGCACCTATATCCCCTTGGCACTGAATAAAACTCTGATGCACTTTAACATTTCTCCTTCACTCTGTGCCTTCAGATACACCAAGATGAAAACGGCCACCAACATTTACATCTTCAACCTGGCCCTCGCAGACGCCCTGGCAACGAGCACGCTGCCCTTCCAGAGTGCCAAATACCTGATGGAGACCTGGCCCTTCGGGGAGCTGCTCTGCAAGGTGGTCCTTTCCATCGACTACTACAACATGTTCACCAGCATCTTCACACTGACCATGATGAGTGTGGATCGCTACATTGCCGTCTGCCACCCGGTCAAGGCCCTGGACTTCCGCACCCCAGCCAAAGCCAAGATCATCAACGTCTGCATCTGGGTCCTCTCCTCTGTGATTGGCGTGCCCATCATGGTCATGGCTGTGACCAAGTCAAAAGGCAAGTGAACGTGGCCCCCTGCTGTGATCCATTGACTGGCGTGTATGCCAGCGCCAATCAACCCTGCTGTAACAGGAGGGCTGACACTCAGGCATCGTGCACACTTGTGGTGGCTACACACCCCGGTGAAAAAGAGGCTGCGTCCATGTTGCGGTGTGTCGCTATGACGCAGCAGTGGAAGGCTGTGGCCAGGGAGCGGCAGTGGCAAAAGACTCCAGCAGCGGGGAGCTCCCAGAGCCTTTTCCCTCTGCCAGAGTTTTTCCCTGTGCTGGGGAAAGGCTCCGGATGCAGGGAGGCAGCAGGACACTATACTCCATCAATAGTGCTAAAAAGAGGAGTGTAGCTGGAGTAGGCGCTGCTTGGGCGTGCAAAGAGCCATTCAGGGTACGTACCCTAAGGCTCTGGCATGGCTGTACTCTACTCACCTAACCAGTGCCTCACTGTTTACACTGCTCTCCATACCGGTGTTAGCTGGGGATAAGTGCAGGGCCGGCGCTTCCATTTAGGCGACCTAGGCGGTCGCCTAGGGCACCAGGATTTGGGGGGGCAGCATTTTGCCACCCTTGGTGGCAATTTGGCGGCGGGGGGTCCTTCTGCGCTCTGGGTCTTCGGTGGCAATTCTGCGGCGGGTCCTTCACTCGCTCCGGGACTCGCCACCGAAGTGCCCCAAAGACCGGGAGCGCGGAAGGACCCCCCGCCGCAGAATTGCCGACAACGACCGGGAGCGCGGAGGACGCCCGCCTAGAGCGCCGAAAACCCTGGCGCCGCTCTTGGATAAGTGTAAGACATAAGTGTAGATGCAGCTTCAGGGAGCTGCAGGCTAGAGCAGGGCAGCTGGGGGGGGGGAAAGTGGGGCAATTTGCCCCAGGCTCCGCAGGGGCCCCCACGAGAATGGCTGAGGCTCCCTCCCCGGCCCCGGCCCGACTCCACCTCCGCCCCTCTCCCGGAGCCTCAGCGCATCCAGGAGCGTCCCTGGCTCCAGCGGGGCCTGGGCTCCTCCCCACTCAGAGCTGCGTGGTAAGGGGGCGAGGCTGCGAGCTCCGGGCCGAGTGGCGGGAGCTCAGGCCCCACTGGAGCTTGCAGCCCCGCCCCCTTACCACGCGGCTCTGAGTGGGGCGGAGCTCAGGCCCTACCGGAGCCACGTTGCAGCGCTGTCCAGGGCTGCTCCTGGATATGGAGTGCTGAGGCTCTGGGTGAGGGGGGAGCCGCGGGTAAGGGGCCGGGGCCGGCGGGGTTGGATAAGGGGCAGGGAGGGGGCAGAGGTTGGGGGGGGCAGTCAGGGGACAGGGGGGTTGGATTGTGGGCGTTCCGGGGGTCTGTCAGGACTTGGTGTGGGGGGTGGATAGGGGTCGGGGCAGTCAGGGGACAGGGAGCAGGGGTGGGATCCCGGGGTGGTGGTTGGGGGAGTCTCTGGGGCACAGTGAGGGAACAAGAAGCAGGATGGGTTGGGGATTCTGTGGGGGGCGGGCAGTCGGGGGGCAGGAAGTGGGTGGGGGTCAGATGGGGGGCAGGGAAAGGCTGTTTGGGAGGCACACCTTCCCTACCCTAAAGCTCATTCAGCAGTTTGAGGCTTGCAGAAGAGCCAAGCTGTTAGCTTTTCCGTTAGGGCTGCCATCCCTTTCACTTCTCAAATGCCAAATGATAGTCTAGATTGAATTTCAGTGCCATAGGGAGATTCATGTCAGGGGAGGGGAGCTTCATTTAAAATTAGCCACTGGGGGAGGGATCACATGAGAAGAGCAATATCCTACACCACCTACCTCCTTCCCAACCCTACTAAGAGACACCCCCCTCCCCTGCATTCCCTGAGGCTTCAGAGGGGTTAATTCAGTGGTTCTCAAACTTTTGTACCGGTGACCCCTTTCACATAGCAAACCTCTGAGTGCGAACCCCCCTTATAAATTAAAAACACTTTTTTATATATTTAACACTATGATAAATGCTGGAGGCAAAGTGGGGTTTGAGGTGGAGGCTGACAGCTCGCGACCCCCAGTAATAACCTCGTGACTCCCTGAGGGGTCCTGACCCCCTGTTTGAGAACCCCTGGGTTAATTTAATTTTAGCACCCTGTGTCCATTCACAGGCATGTGCTATTTTGAGCATTTCAGTTTTCACAACATAGGCTCATCCCAGATTCTGGAACAAGCTCAAATGCTCAGTTCGTGGAGTATGTACATAGTCTATACTAAAGACAAACCCACAGTAACCGTCTCCAGTTTGTGATGGACCCCATGGTGCCAGTCTCTAGGAAACAGATAAATGCATGGAGTTTAAGTCCATTAATGGCTATTAGCCAGGATGGGTAAGGAATGGTGTCCCTAGCCTCTGTTTGTCAGAGGATGGAGATGGATGGCAGGAGAGAGATCACTTGATCGTTACCTGTTAGGTTCACTCCCTCTGGGGCACTTGGCATTGGCCATTGTCAGTAGACAGGATCCTGGGTTGGATGGACCTTTGGCCTGACCCAGTAGGGACGTTCTTATGTTCTAACCTAAATGAACCCAAAGGTATGGAGACAGATATGAGTCAAGGAAGACAGCAGAGTATCAGAAACCTGGAAAAATCTCTGACTGGATGGGCTCAGGCGTTTGGTCACAAGCTGAGGTGGTTCAAAAGTTTTGGATTTTTTTTAAGCAGAATTTTTTTATTGTTTGTTTAAACAATCAAACACAACAAGCAGCAAATATTCGGCCACACACTTCTGAAACCCCAAACCATGTTCAGGTTTTGGCAGACTAATTTCAGCTTTTCAATTAAAAAAAAAAAACAACAAATTTTGAAGGAAATCAGATATCGTCCGTGATTTTTTCTGCTTTTTAAAAACCCCTAGTTTTCAATCCAAAAAAAGTTGACGGAAAATATTTTCCCAACCGCTTTAGTGCCTTTTAGCACTAGCTGATGCTGAGAACCAGTGATACCTTGTAAAGAAGTTTTCTCAAAACTGGGTTTGTGCCGAGATGCGGAAGGTTTATTTTTCCCAGGGCTGCCCGTGGGGGGGGGGGGAGGAGCAAGTGGGGCAATTTGCCCCGGGCCTCACAGGGGCCCCCACGAGAATATAGTATTGCAATTTTTTTTATAGAAGGGGCCCCCGAAATTGCTTTGCCCCAGGCTCCCTGAATCCTCTGGGTGGCCCTGGGCTAAAGGGGAGGGATGGTGGTGCGGTTAAAGCTTTGGGCTAGGACAAAAAAGTTCTGGCTTCCATTCTTGGCTTTGCCCCAGACTCCCCCCATGCAGATCACTGAATTCCTCAGTTCCCCCCAAACCCATCCCACCTCCCCTACGTGCCCTAGATCTCCCAGTGGTTCCTCTCCTGCCCTGTCTCTTAGCGAAGGTGATTAGTTCTGACCTTGAGCAGGCTGGTTAGTGGTGGGATGTCGCTGTCAGTGTCCATTTGGCAGCCTCTCTGCAATGAGTCCTTGGCCCCATTTCCAGAGTACAGGCATCTGCATCATGGGGATCAGTGTTACGACTGGCAGTGATCAGAGAAGGGCTTTATCGTTACACATCCGTAGAGGCTTCTGTTTAAGAATCTCAAGGCATTTATCATTTGTACAGCAGCATGGCCCAGAAGCCCTAACTCAGGATAAAGGTCCCAATGTGCAAGGTGCTGTACACACGTCAAAGGAAAAGATGACCCCCTGCCCCAAAGAGCCCGCAATCTATGTATGCTTTACAAACATTAATTAGCCCTTACAGTGTAGCATGAGACAGGTAAATAGTGTTAGACTGATTTTACAGATGGGGAAACTGAGGCACCAATAGGTGAAATGTAGCACTCCAAAACTCAGACCAGACCCACCCTGAAGTTTGGAGCAGGAGTTTGGATCTGGTCTTTGACTCTGTGTCCAGATCTTGTTAAAAAACTTGCCCAAGACCATTAAATGTGTCAGTGGCAGAGTTTTGGAAAGCCCCTATTGTAATTACAAACAACAATTCTTCATTAGTTTTCATGAAGTTTACAGATCAAGTACATTCTAATCTTAACACTAACACACACTTCTGATCTAGGTAATTACAGGGATATACATAAAGTAATGCGATAGCAATCCACAGGTTATAGATAAGTGAAGACAATACCATTAACAGTTCCTTTGAACTAACACACAAGTGAACTGGCCTGATTACATTACAATACCTTTTGACACTGCTTGGATTTCTATTAGCATACGAGTGAATTAGTCTGCAGCCCTGTCTTGAGCTGGCACGTGGGTAGATAACATCACACCAAGTCACCAGCACTAACCACTAGGCAGCACTCCATCTCTGACGCGCTCTGTTTAGTCAGCGTTAAATCAAACCAAGCGCAAATGTTAGGAATTTAGCTAGATCTGTTAGGAAACTGACAAGGTTGGAAGCTGTATGCACACCGACAGAGCTGTCTGCTGAAAAAGGGTGCCCGGTGGGCTGCATGGAGGATTGTGGGGGTGGCAACTTAGAGACAGTCTAATCATTTGAATACAATGGGAGACACAGCATGCAAATAAGGCCCAATTGTATGCAAAAGCAGGCTCCTACTCTGGTGCAAATTAGGCCTGTTGAATTCAACTGCAGTTCCAATTATCCTGCAGATGTGATCCCCCTTGGTGTAAAACTGTCAGGAGTATTTAATTATGTTGAAGTAGAAACACAGGAACACGGTACGAGTTTCTTGCCTATGCCATTTTAATAAGCAGAGAGGGCTATAAATGCACCCCTGGGGCAGCCAATTAAGGGGGTATTCCTCTGGCTCTCCCACCTATCCACCACTCTCCCTTACCCTCTCTCCCCTGCAGATGGGACCGTGCTCTGCATGCTCCAGTTCCCCGACCCCGCCATGTACTGGGACACGGTGACCAAGATCTGCGTGTTCATCTTCGCCTTCCTGGTGCCCATCCTGGTCATCACCATCTGCTACGGGCTCATGATCCTCCGCCTCAAGAGCGTCCGCCTCCTCTCGGGCTCCAAGGAGAAGGACCGCAATCTGCGTCGCATCACCCGCATGGTGCTGGTCGTGGTAGCGGCCTTCATCATCTGCTGGACGCCCATCCACATCTTCGTCATCGTCTGGACGCTGGTGGACATAGACAAGAAGAACCCCTATGTGGTGGCCAGCTTACACTTCTGCATCGCCCTGGGTTACACCAACAGCAGCCTCAACCCTGTCCTCTACGCCTTCCTGGACGAGAACTTCAAGAGGTGTTTCCGGGAGTTCTGCCTGCCCTTCCGGTCCCAGATGGAGCAGAACAGCTTCTCCCGAGCGAGGACCACCACCCGGGAGCGCGTCTCCACCTGCACCCCTTCCGAAGCCCTCAATAAGCCGGCATGACTAGGCATGGACAGCCACCGGCGGGGTTCCCGCAGCCGCAGAGGGGAGGAACTGCTCTCGGAGGTGACTCAGGTCACCACCACGGAATTCTAGTGGAGGTGACTGGAGGCGAGCGGGCAGGGGTGGGGGGCTCATCAAGGACTCTTTCAAAAAAATATATTTGCAAATGCTTGATTTTCCATGAAGACACCAGGGGGATGGGGAATTGGGCAGAGGAGTCACAAAGCAACAGATTCCTGGCTGAACGTTTCGAAGAACTGCAGAAAAAACAAACTGCGGCATCGGATGGGGAATGAGGAGGAACCACAGGCTACAAACACGTCATCAGACGACCACCAAACCTGCACCACAAGGCAGCCTGGAGACGGACGGCTCTGGAGCCCCACCCCGCCATCAGGAAGGGCAAGATGGGGGAACCTGCCGCTGCTTTCATGGGGGTGGGGCTGCTTCTTTAGCTCTCAGCTGATGTAAAAGCCCAGGCGCCCTTCGAACCCCGGTCGGCACGATGCAAACTGCAAAGCTGCAACCCTGTGAAATCTTGTGCTGTTGAAGCGTTGGGTTTGGTTCCCCTGACGCCAGCAGGTGGCGCCGGTGGAGAGACACCTCAGCCAGCTGTGAGCAAGTCGCGCATCATGCTCTGGGACCCAGGCCAGGGAGAACTGGGGTTCTCCAACAGCCCAAGGACTCTGGGGAGGAGCCCTGCGCTTTTTTTGTGCCCGTTCTGACCTTGTACATGGCAGACACCAGCACATCCTGCTGGCTCTTTGCTGCTGCGCTCTGGGATGGCTGCTCAGGACCCCCCCCCCCCCGTAGGAGAGCAGAGCACACACCGACTGCCATGTCTTGTACATATGTACACTCCAACAGCCCTCGGGAGGCAACGCCTGGCCGGGGAGGCCTGGGACGTTCCTGACGGAGGCGCGTGGCTACTCGTCTTGTGTGCCCGCCTCGTTCCTTTCGCCACATCGTTATTACCCTGCACAGCCCGACGCGGGATCTGTAGGAGTCAGCCAACTCCCCTGCTCACACCGGCCCGGCGCGCCACGGAGCTCGGAGCCTCGCGTACACGCGTGGAAGGTCTGCCTGGCGAGAACGCACTCACACCGGCCCGAGCAGAGAGGCACCGCGTCCTGCGTTCAGTGTCACAGTAGGAACCGGGCTTGTAGCTATACACCAGCAGCGGAAGGGTGACGGCACTGGGAGAGGGGAGATTAAACGGATTCCCTCTGCCTGTCTCTGGGGGAGGCGAAACACTGAAGTTAAAGATCCTTTCAGGACTTTTCTAAAAAGAGAACCAGGATCCCTGCTGTCCCTCCCTCTCTCTCACTTAGGGCCTCCGCCAAACCCTAGTCGAGTCAATGAGAATCTTTCCCAGGACTTCGGTGGTTTGGATCAGCCCTTAAAGTGGGCTAGGGGGGCCCACACTGTGGGAGAGCCATTGCTAGGCAGACAGTGGCTCTCACTTTTGCCCGCCGCAGTCAGTCTCAGGGCCCAACTCTCCAACCTGGGCCCAGAAGTTAGGGCTCCCACTTGCACAGTGCTCAAGTGGGCATTCAGGTGCCTGGGTACCCATCCCAGGCGTCGACGCGCTGATCGGTGCCTCCACATGCAGAACTAGGGGCCTCATAGTAGTTTGCAAATTGGGTTTCTGGCATCTCTGCAAAGCGCATTGAGATACCCTGAGCGTGACAGGCGCAGCTCCATTCTATGCTCTCTGTGTGCATATGCACATTTGAATACCAGACACGGGCTTTATTGTTGTTGTTTTTATTTCAGTGGCATCTAAATGCCTTATCTAGGTCATGGCCCCCATGTGCTTGGTGCTGTACATTGTGCTCAAGCCACTAAATTCGGACCCAGGGCCAAATCTCAAACACGCTAGCAATCGGACACAGGATTTTCATTCTCCCTGTTCGAAGATTATTTGCATGATTCCAGGTGGGAGCCCTGTTTGGAGTTCATCCAGCTGGACAGCGTGTGGGGACGTGAGCTTCTGGGCCAGGCTCCAGTCTCACAGATAAACCGGCAGAACTGGTCAGGCTGGTGGGAACTGGGCGCCGATGATTTGATGGGGAGGAAAAGTGCAGGCCCTTAGCAATGAGCAGAGGTGATCCAGGCCAGCGGCAGCCCAAGGGCTGCACCAATACCGAGGGCCGGATTCGGCTTGCGGCTACACTGGTATAAATCCAAAGTCAACAGAGTTGTGCCGGATTCACACTGGAGTGAGACAGTCCTGGGGACCGCAGTCCTCTGTCCACAAAACAGGTCCAGCAGTCTCACGCTGCAAGCCTGCCAATGTGCCTTGACTCTCATCGGGGGGCACTCTCCTTTTGGGGGTGAAAAGAGCTCTGTCTCCTTAGCCCATTCAATGCCAAGACATCGCTGCTGGGAGGGCTCCCAAGGAGACCCGTCAGTGCCAATAGAAGTGGTGGGTTCTGTGACGTGTCCACCTGCTTGCTGGGAGCTGGACGGACCTGATCCCACTCATTTCACACCAGCCTGGGGACACTCATTAGACAGAAGCGACTTGTGGTTGTTAGCTGTTGGGGCTGGATTGTAACCTACAGGTGAAAGGCTCTTCATCATAAAAACACACACATACGTGTGCGTGTGTGTGAGAGAGAGAGAGACTCTTACATATACATGCACAATTTGACCTGTCCTAAGTGATCAGCCAAGGATCAGGGAAAAAAATGTGGGTTGCTTAGCAGATGTGGCCTTTTACTACAAATCACGAATGGTTCTGGCAACCTAGGGCTGATGCACAAAGCGGACAGCTGTCCACTGCCTCTGGTTAGGGTGAACAGACGTCCTGATTTGTCTCGCGTCCCGACCTACCTTCAGTCGGGATGCGAATTGTCCTGATATTTTGCCTCCACTCACAGGCGGAGCGGAGCCCGGAGGGGGCTCGCATCCCCGCCACCCACCCCGACTCCGCCCCCTCCTTCCTCCATTGGATCCCTCCCCAAATCCCCGCCCAGGCCCTGTGCCCCCAGCCCCGTCCCCTCACTGCCCCATTGGATCCCTCCCCAAATCCCCACCCTGGCCCCGCCTCTCCCCCAAGCACGCCGCATTCCTCCTCCTCCCCCCTCCCTCCCAGGCTTGCACTGATCAGCTGTATGGTGGCACAAGCGCTGGAGGGAAGGGGGAGGTGGAGACGGAGCGGAAGCATGCTGGTGCGGAGGGGGGGGCGTGGAGCTCCGGCGGCCGTTTTTTGGGGGGGGGGGGGTTGCTCTCCCCACCCCCGCATCCTGATATTACATCTGTGTGATCTGGTCACCCTACCGCTGGTCCTATTACTATTCTGACCACAGTACCTAGCTGCCCCAGCTGAGATCAGGGCTCCATTGCGGTACGTGCTGCGCACACGCGCATGCACACACACACACACACACACACACACACACACACACACACAGGAAGAGACCAGCCAACTCCAAAGATCTCACAGGCGAAATAAACAAGACAGACGAACAATGCGCTATTTTCCCGGTTTCACTGATGACACGCAGAGATCCCGATCAGCTGAGCCTTCCACCAGTGCCTTCCACCACAAGACTGTCCATCCTCCTTAGCGCTGGCCCCGCTTTCGCTATCCTTTTGAGATGGCTGCGCTACACCTGCAATGAACCACTCCAGCCCGTGGAAAGGTTCCAATTCAGCTGTGCATCTGGAGCGGAGCTTTGCGGTGCAGGCCAGTCTCTGCACTGGCTATAAAATCAGAGTGGCATGTCCAATTCATTATGCACCATAGGCTTGTTCTCGCCCCACAGGACAAGATCTGCACATTCTTTCTATAAATCAGCAGATAAAGATTAATGAAGCAGCCCAAGACAACTTTCCTAAGCTGCATAATTCTTAATTTAGTTTCAAAATACGAGAGACTTTACAGTAATAATACTCCGTGCTTCTAGATAAGAACCTTGGCAGTATTTGCAAACAGGAATTAATTACCACTGCTGGGAGAGGGGAGCATGATCCCTTTTCAACTGTTTGGGGAAACTGAGGCACTAAGCGGCAGAATGATTTGCTTACCGTCATGCAGGAAGTCTGTGACATAGCTGGGAGTCCAACCCAGACCTCATGATGCCTTGGCATGCGCTTTAACCACCGAACCCTCCTCTCTCTCTTACCAGACTTACAAAATAGAAATGAAATGTATTCCTGCACACACACAATTCCTGTATGTGTGTGGGTGGGTTGTATGCATTTGGGCACACACGTATATACATGTATATAAACAGCTCAGATTCCCTACCATTAGGAAACACTTAACTTACAGACCAAGGCAACTATGCAAAGAATAAATCCTTCCATCTTTGGGCTTTATCTTTGCACAGATCTGCCCCACGCATGGGCTCAGACCCAACAACTAGACAAGCGCTCGGGATCCCACCTGAGCGCCCTATGATGATGTGTAATGACAAGATGGCAATCCGCAAGCCTTGACTAAGTAATGTGATCGATCTCCTTCCACAATCCAGTCAGATCCAGCCACCTGGCTGGAGCCTTGAAACTCAGTAGGTTCATGATCAGACCCGGGACACCAAGAGTGAGAAGTACCAGCTCAGCCCAGGGCAGATGGAGCCAAGACAGAAGAGGAAGTACCCTCCTGGGACCTGAGTCTCCACTGCCACCCCATGCCGATATTGACGCTAAGGCCAAGTGAGAATAAAATGCTCCCAGCAGCATCTTACATCCATGTGGCCAGGTGCAGGTCAATGGAGAATCAGTCCTCTAATGGCTGTCAACTGCAGCAAGATCCCATAACAGAAACAATTCACGGGGCCTTCATGTTTCCCCGTTGGCGTTAAAACAGTTGGTATGGATTAGTACTGCCACAATGCGCTGCAGCTTCTCACCAAACAGCTGAACCTGGTTGCCTTAGTCAGTCCCAAAAGGAATGGAGTGGCTTTATAAAACGGTAATTAACAAATGAGCAAATCTGGCTGATGAGTGAAAATGACAAGCCGTAGAGACAAGAGGAAGAATGGCCACTGGCCAGTTTTCCATTGCTCCCCAGCAACTCAAAGAATCTGTGTAGTGCATAGGAATTGGGTTGTACCCCTTTAAATACTTTGTGAGCCTTCTAGTGGCGCTCACCAAGTTTCAAAAGGCAGCCGAGCCCTGCCAGAGCGGCAGTGCGTATGTGTAGCTGGGCCTTGCTGCATGTTGTATATAGTTAGTGAACATGGGTATTCGGACCCCGCTGGGCCTGTGTGGTTCCGTCACATTACACGTTGGAAACAGCTGAGTTAGGGAGCTCCTAGACCGAGCCATTTTGGAAAGAGGAGCCAAAAACATTCAGGAATTTTTGGAAAAACTGAAGGGCAGGTGACAGTTCAAAAAACACCATGAATTCAAAATTCCTTTTTCTGAACTATACCAAGCTTCCCAGAAAAACTCTACCCCAGGAGGAAATGGGGCATGCAACATTTCAGGATGATAGCTTTTCTGGTTGGCCACTGGATAACAACCTACTATTGCTGCCCACTTGTGAAGCTGCTCCTTTAGCTCAAGTGCTAGAGGTCTGTGTTTTGGTGCTGAAAAGGCTTTGGTTACTCACTCATTCCCTGGAGGCCAGGGAATATCTGACAGCAGGCAGGCAAAACCAACCCAGTAAGGCCTAGGTCAGTAAAGGCCTAGGTCAGTAAAGCCCTTAAGTTTGAGCTTAACTTTAAGCTCTGCTGAAGCCAAAGTTAACTTCATTGCTGTCTCAGGGCCTAAATCAGGTGGAGCATCTGTGTACAACAGTAACCACTAGGGAACAACGCCACTAGATTGACTGGATGTCTTTCTAAATGACGGGATATAGCTCAAACAGACGTAACGGGCCTGATGTAGGAATTCGTGGTTAAGGTTCTGTGGCCTACAAACTAAATGATTGTGGGTGGTCCCTTCTGACCTCAAAACCTAGGAATACTGTATTGACTCAAAACATGCTAGGTAACCCCTGTATCCTAACCAGCCTCTACTGCAGAAGACCTTTATGGCCCTATTGGTAAAGACAGGCTCTTAGGTTGGAATGAGCCTCTGACAAGTCTGTAAAAACATTATTTTCCTCCCAAGGACAAAGTGAGAAAAATTGACGTTTGGATCTCAGACACACAGGGTGAACAATCTGTCTTCTCTCCCCAGTACTTGTCTCCCTGAAACAGAACCTGCTCTTGCTGCAGTTACGTCTGTTTCACTCCACCACCAAACGCAGCAGCCGTTTCAGTTCTTCATGTAGGCGAGCGAGCCATACTGCACGTGCTAGCATCTTGAATCTCCTCCGGGTCAGAGCAGCACGCCCAGGCTGTAGGGGACAGGACATCTGCTCTGGTGAGCAGGACAGCACAATGCCCCTGCAATGTGTTGGCATAGAACTTAGTGACGGCAGAACAATAACTGCACGACTGGTGTCGGTCGCCTCCCACGGGGCTGAGCTAGACCTGCTCACGTTTATCGGCGGCAGCCTGTCAGTCTTGTGGAACCAGGACAGATGCTAGTAGTGAATGCACCATCTATGAGAGCGCGAGCTGGATTCTAGTCTAGCTCCATGCATTGGCAACAAAATCGCTCCCAAGTTCTAATTGGAAAATCCTTATGGATGGTGAGGCTGTTAAAGTGGCAGGAAGGATCCCCGCTGGGTTTTTCAGAGCCCAAGTGAGGTTCGCAGGGCTGGGAATATGACAAAAGGAAGCTCTGGGTAGGTCAGCGTGGTTGATTTGATCCCGATGTCACCCACAGAGACGAGATGGGAAACCTTATAGTCCCGCCTCGCTGAATATGATCACACTTTACAATTTTGTAGAACCTCTTCAGATGCCTTTAAAAGCTTCCTCCATACTCAGGGTGAGGTCGAATGAGGTAGATCATGAGGCCAGCTGTGAGTGAAGGGGAAAGACGCAATTTTGAGGAATTTAAGAAGCCTAAATCCTCCCAACTGACTGACAAAGGAAGACGACTTGCGAGGAACTATTTGAGAGGGACAGCCATTCTACACGACACCATGGCTACTTCATAGCCACGGAAACCTGCTGCTCCTACTGCACTCCAAACAAGAGGCCTTGGTTTCATCTCATTGTCTGTCTATATAGGGGTCTCTCTGCCTTTGATGTGCTCTTATTCACCATGTTGCGACCAAAGGCATTTCAGTGAGCCCTGCTTCATTTTGTGAGGTCGGATCCACACGTATGATGAGCTTGTATGTTGTCTAGTGGTTAGATCAGGTATCAGGACTCCTGGGTTCAGCTCCAGGTTCTTCCACTAAGTTCATGCGTGACCTTGGGCATCTCACTGGTTGTCTCAAACTGCGGCCCCAAAAACACGTTCATCCAAAATCGTTGGCCACTCTTGAAAATGTTGGCTTTAACCTCTCTGCTTCAGTTTATCCAGGGAATATGGACCAACGTATTACGGTGATAAACCTCACGTAAATCATAGTAGCGTTTTCGGATCACAGCAGCAGCGTGAGGTTTATTCAGGGTTTGTCAAGTGCTTTGAGATGCTTGGATGAAAGGTGAGATCTGTCATAAATGTGATGGGCCAGATGCTCATCGATGCTGATAGAAATCGGCACAGCTCCATTCATGTTACCCCCATACCACCAGTCAATGGAGCGATGACCGTTTACACCAGCAGAGCAGCTGTTCTTTGCTTCTACAATGCAAGAGCTATGGATGGGGAGAACCTTTCAGAGCATCTGCCCAGGTTATGTCTCGCTCTGGGCACTGCTATCAGTCCCTCGCTGTTTCTAAACACCCAAAACGCAACCTTTTTTTTTCCCCTTTGGTTTGGTTGTTTTTATTTTTTCTCCAATCAGTCTATCACTAAGGCTAGGTCTACACTACCTGCCTGAATCGGCGGGTAGAAATCGACCTCTCGGGGATCGATTT